GCCTCCTGCTCTTCCTCCCCGTGTACTACAGTTGCTTGTTTGGTTTCCAGATGGACCTGGGAGGCTTCAACGTAGGTCCCTTGCTTGGCTGACTTTGAAGGGGCCGGTCTGCCTCCCTGCTCCTGGTCCCTGAGACTTGGGCACTCAGGACTCAAGTCTGGAGCCACCACAACCAAGACCACATGGATTTCATGCATGGGAGCCAAGTTCCTGGTGGGACCTGGGCCTGGGGAAATACTGACCCATGCACCCAGGCAGGCAGGGTGCTGGGCAGCGGTGGAAGCTGGCTGGCAACGGCAAAGGAGCGGTGAGCTCCCCGAGTGGGAGGAAGCCAAGCAGAGAGAAGGCACTCCTGCTCATGTGCTCCAGAGGAGTCTGGCAATGACAGGCCTGCACGGGCCCTTCCAGCTCGGGGATTCTGCCATTCTAAACATGCGTTCTAACAGGAGCTATCTGGGCCCCGGCCTGCATGGTAGGGTGTGAGTGTCTGTCCGTGGAGGGACCACAGAGAGGCTAACGGGCAAGAGATGGGACCAGAAGACCATTAAGGCGCTTCCAGCCTGGCGGCACTAAGGCACCACAAACCTCAGTCCTACAATGGCTTCTCTCTGTCACCACAGGAGCCATAATTGACGGGACACACAGGAACAGCATCAGTGTGGGCCTAAAACTGAGACCCTCCACGGGAGTCCCAAGGCCTCTGTCTGTGCCAGGGCAGCTGGGAGAGGGTCAGGATGGGGTTCCCACAGGTCCCCTGCTGCCTTTGATGACCCTGCTGAAGTGGCGACCCACTCAGCAGTAACAAAAACTTGCATGTAATAAATAGCTCTGCGGAATGCGGGCTGGGGAAGTGAGGGGCACCCACACCCCTTGGGAGGCCCTCTGGGCAGAAGCACACTGGGCTTTTCTCAGGACTTTTAGACAAATTGCAGGAAGTTAGCTAAGTCCCTTGTCTCTCCTTCTTTTTTTTTTTTTTTTAAAGAGATTTTTTTGCTATAGGGCACATGTACTCATCAAAGAGACAGAGAGCGAGAAATTACCCCCCGGGGGGATGGCCACACCACAGTTCCTTCTCCTCCATTCTCCTGTCGGGATCCTGGGCACACACACACATGTGTCTGGAGTGAGTCGAACTGTGGTCAACTACGTGGGAGCCCAGCGACATAACTGTTACGCCATCTGCTGGTCCCCGTCTCCCTTCTCCATAGACACTACAGGTGTCTATGTGTTACGTGGAACCTCCTTTGAAGGATGCTGCTGTCTCCTGGGCAGCTAAGGACAGAAGTCTGAAAGGCAGCCGGCCCCACCGCAAGCACTGCTGCTGGCCCTCACGGCACCTGAGGGTGATTTCCCCTCCTCAAGGCACTCTTCCTTGCGTCTGCCAGAAAACTGTCACCTGCACATGGGTGTATGGCAAGGCCACTGATAGCAATGCCCTTATCCTCCGTACTGCCCCTTCACCTCCATGAGCTGATCAGGGTGGGCGTCCCTGCCTGGAATCACAAGGCCCAGCAGATGTCCAAGGACCTAGGGGTGGGACGGGGACAGGGCCCACTCACCGTCCTCAGGCTCATAGGGGACCCAGCTGTGCTTGGCATTCTGGTGGGTGTAATAGGAGTTGCGCTTGGCACACTGCTGGGCCCGGAAGTCCTCGTAGGGCCCCGGACAGTCCTCGCTGTTGCAGACCTGGTACTCGAACATGGCCCCCGAGCACATGCGGCCTCCATAGGCTGGGCTGGGGTGGGCACAGAGAGACAGGGGGCTTGCTGGCTGGGAGGCTGGGGAGGGCCACCTTCCCACATGGCCCTGAGGCCACCTGGGGTAGCTCAGCTGTGTAAACGGAGCCACTAACTTATAAACTAGATAATGACCCCAAGTAGGGGCTGCTGAGCTTCAAGCCTTCGGGATCCCTCTTCCTCCCAGCCTTCTACATCTGAGGTACATACCACCTCTTCTGCTGTGTGGGTATGTGTGTGTGAATGACAGGCAGACAGACAGACACAGAGACTGACTGCCCAGCTGTAACTCTGCTGGAAGGCAAATCAGCCTTACTCATCCGTGCATATTCCTCCCACTGTTATTCAGGGCGTGGCACATAGTAGGTGCTCAATAAGCCCTCATCTACTCCTGCAAGCAGCTGCTTCCACTTAGTATCACGATAAACTAAGGAATGGTAAGAGAGACTCGGGTTTGGAATCAGACAGTTGGCCCCCAAATTCTGACCATACAATGTGGGCCAAGTCACGTCCGCTTGCTCTGCTTTAATTTCCCCTTGCAAAGAGGAACCAGATTCTCTCTTGTTTTGCCTGCTTCCTGGTGTGCCTGTGCAGAATAATAACAAAGCAATATTAAAGCCATCTATGCTCTCTTGTCCACTAGTATTAGCTAAGACTGGATACAGGGTGTCCACAGGCGGGAGGTTAACGGTACCACGGAGACCCCGGGAGGACCATCGGGGTTTATGCACCTAAGTACTTAGCATACCCTGCCCCAGCACAGAGAAAGTGCTCAACACGCTGCAATAATAATAATTCTAACAGCAGATGCCATCTATTCACCTGTGCTGAGCATGGTACTGAGGATGCACATATTATTTCATTTAAGCCTTGTAAAATAAAAATATTACAGAGGAGCTCCATAAATGGTAGTTCTGATCGGGGATAACTGTCAGTCATAACTGCAAGGCAGTTTACTCAGAACAGCTACCAAGGGCCTTTGTGGAACCCTAGGTTTTATTCCAACAGAGGGAAGCTATGAGGCAGTCTGTCGGCTCATGTTTGTAAGAGGTCCAGGTAATGGCCACCTGGCAAAGGAGCAGGTTCTTCAACAGGCGCTGAGCCTCCCAGCCCCGGGGAACAGCAGAGTAAGAGCGAGTACTTCTGAGGGTCCCCCTGCAATGCTTGGACTCTGCTGGTCTGAGGGACTCACTGTGTCACTCTGCGTCAGAGGGGGCTGGGCCAGGCTGTCTGTGGAGGTTCAGAACCCCCAAGCTCCTAGAGCCAGCTGACCCCCACAGCGAGCCCTGGCCAGTTCTGATCTTTCACAAGGCTGTCCTGAGCTGGCTGCTTCAGCTTGGCAGGGGGATGCCCTGGAGGGTTGGGGCTTAGAAGTTCCAAAACCATGGAGTAGGGGAGGGGGCTCCCCCAGAGGGAAGGGAGAAACATACACCTCCTCCAGAATGCTGAGATCTGGGGAGGGAGAGAGGGGAATTTGGTGTTAGAAAGTAGGTTAAGAAAAATGAAAGGACGTTTTGCTCCACGTGGTAGAAATCCAGCACAGGGCATCTATCCTTCCAAGGCAGGCCTAGAACATCTGGCTTGTATATTTTCTTACAGTTCAGGAAGATCAGGGCTAGGGGTAGACTGGTTGAAGTGGTGATCTTGGACCCACCCAGACTTACAGGGGAACTTCCATACATGAGTCTGAGAATTGCTGGTTCACGCACATTCACAGACTCAGACCTAACGTGAGCAGACACAGAATCAAGGGACCTGGCCACCTCCCAGACGATTCTGGGTCCTCATTTGTCAGAACACACGACCCCCCCAGAGGCCCTTCTCTCTTTCGCTATCTCCCCAGCACCTTCCCTCCAAGCCCCTCAGCCCTGGGGTCTCCTGTCCTGCCCACCCCAGCCACCACACTCACGGGGGGTTGTCACAGCTCCGACTGCGGGACCGCACTCCACCGCCACACGACCTTGAACAAGACCCAAACTTGGTCCAGGAGCTCCAGCCTCCATCCTGGCCGTAAGTCTGCTCCGGTGACTTCCAGATGCAATGACCTTTGAAGCACCACTGGGATGGAGCAAAATGCATGAGGTCACCCATGGCTGCTATGGAGGGTGCCCAAGTGGGCACACAGCACAGCTGGTGAGCACATGGGGAGCCCAGAAAGGGGGCTGTGAAGAATTCCACCCCTACCATGAGCCGGGCAACCTTAGACAAAGGGCTCGCCTTTCTGAGCCTGTTCCTCGGCTGTGCAATGGGGGTGACTGCCCCTGCCCACTGCGTTCAGTGGGATAATGCCTGGCACACACAGCCCCCCAGAACCAGCAGGTATTTCTACTAATGACGACAGTAAATGTGCAATGATTATTCATGAGCCTGGGAGAAATATCAGGCTAACAGGGACAAGAAGACACAATCCTCCCACACTACCTAGAGTTGACGCTGACTCTGTACCCTGAAATTGCCTCTTGGGAGCTGAACTCAGTAGTTCTCAACCTTGGACTCACCTGGGGGAGATTTTGAAACTCTAGATGCCTGGGCTTCACCCCAAATCGACTGAGTCAGAATATCTAAGGATGGGGACTTTTTTCTTTCTTTCTTTTTCTTCTCTTTCCTTTCTTTTTTTTTTTTTTTTTTTTGGAAAGGTTTTTGCCATAGGGCACATACGCTCACCAGAAAGAGAGAAACAGAGAGACAGAACGCGAGAAATCACCCCCCAGAGGGATGGCCACGCCGCAATCCCTTCTCCTCCATTTTCCTCTCGGGCTCTTGGGCACGCACGCACACGAACCTGGTGTGAGTTTACGCCACCGGGTCCGGGACTCAAGCTGCGGTCGACTACGTAGGAGTCCAGTGACATAGCCATTACGTCAACTGCTAGTCCCAGGGATAGGAACTTTTTTGAAGAAGCACTAGTGAGGTCTAATTTACATCCCACTAAGGTCACTCCTCTCATGTGTACAATTCAGTGGTTTTCACATGTTCAGAGTCAGACCTGTGCCACCATCACCACACTGCAATTTTAGAACATTTCCATTGCTCCAAAAGCCCCTCTGTGCCCACATGCAGTCGTTCTCTGTTCTAGGGATGGGCTTATATATATATATATAT